ATAAGCTCTGTTACTTATGTGAAAAACTGTCACATTACATTTTCTTATAAAGGAATGGGTTAGTAGACCTGTAAATATGCGCTTTATTGCTATGACTTTCTGCGGGCTAAACCTGCACCCGACGGGGAAGAAAAATACAGCTATTAGTAAGAAAATTGTGACTGTTAAGAGTACTTCGTTAGATCAGAAAAGACTGTTAAAACTAGTAATCCAAGTAAACAAACAAACACAAACAAATAATAATTGTACGCAAGGGAGAAGGATGTACAAAATATTACTTTGGACTAGTGTGGGTCACTTGAGTAATTTCGGCGTTACGGTTTTTCTTCGCCAGAACTCTGTTGACTCTACAGCAGCAGTATCCTTGCATTCTCGAGCACATCTGCTTGAGTCGGTTGCGAAAGAATTTAAAAAAAAAGATGTATGTGTACCCGTGACAGGCGTATTGAATGTCCTTGGTGGAGTTGAAGAGACGACTTAATTCGGCGACTACGCTGGACTCACAACGTGGCGTCGTTGAATCCTGGCCTGCACGAACGCAAATGGTAACGGTGAAGGGGAGTGTGCAGGCGAAGGAAACAAAGGAAATGAGAAGATATGTAATGACCCTCCTCAATTCCGTCCTGTTTTCTCCTTGATCACTGATAATTTGATGTGATTTTCTGCGCATATTCTGGACAGCGAAAAGATTCTTTCGTCGACGCAAGAATTTGACCATTTGTCCAATAATGATACAGTTAATGATTACGAGTAGAAATGTTGGAATGAGAAAAGTGATGACCGTCACGTTCACCTTTGTGTAATACCCTGTTCCTTTATGCATGCTAAGCGTACAAACTACCATCGTACTGACATCTGAAATAAAGTAAAATCCAAGATTGAGGAATGTAAGTAGATATGACGCTGCTCTTTATTTCTTACTGTTTTAGGTAAAACTACACCTTTTTAAACGGTACTTACAAGGTGGTGAATACCATTGAGCCTTTATTTTATGATTTGATTGCCCACAGAATGCTACACACGTTTGGAATTATATAAGTGCTACTGATTTACCAATGTCAATGCATTATTTACTGATAAATAAGTCGGAAAAAGACACCACCACTTTCATGCTAGTCCTTTCCTCAGTCTAAGCGATTTTGTCCGATGAATCCAATTTTTCAAAACTAACATTAGTCAGTTCGTTGATTAGACTTTTGAATTTGTTACGCTGATATTTAGCGCCGTCCTAACTAACACATAACCATTAGGGTGGACTTGCGAAACCCCTCATTCTGATGAAGTGCTTTTAGAGACTCTCTCTATTAATAGCTACAGGTTATCCACGTCGCACTTGTTGTCAGATGTCCCGCGGTTGGACAACAATTATTTTTAGGAATCGGAAAAATTTGGTTAATAGGTCCTTTAAGTGTATCATTTGTAGGGGCGTTTATTTTTAAATCGCACTAGTTCCTACTGCGAGACTAAAAGTCAAGTGAATGTCATCACCAATTTACTTTGGCAGAGTAGGTGCTGGTTCTCTGCTAACAGTACGAGAGGTAACAACTTTTCGACCACATGCCACAATGACCAAGCTGACACGTCATTTATGGTCAAGAAAAGCTATTTTTTTTAGCATTTGAGTTTGTACTACAGCTTATTTATTGCTTGCTGAACAAAATCCATTGTGCTAGACAGCAATTTCCTGGACAAGCATAGCCCCCAGACGAGTGATAAGGAGGACTGTTTTGCATGCGAAAATTTTATCTCCAAGGCATAGTTTTTGCATCTATTATTAAGTAAAATGTACTCAAGGCTTAAGAATTCATTCAGATATCAAAAGTATGCTACTTTTGGGATTTGTTTTGACAACATATACGACAGTAGATTAGCTTAGGAACTTGAGAGAACCTTCCCTCTCCTCCCATGGTCTGTAATCACGTGGCATAAAGCTATAGTGCATTGAGGTCACTTGTCAATGATACAAAGCACCAAACCGACTAGTTTTAAGCTGATGCAGATTTGTAGTCAGGATTACTAAACGAACTAGGTCAGTGGTATTCATTTTTAGCAACATCTTTAGCATCATGAAAATGTTTATTCAGTTGAACTGGATTTTTGGCATTCAACACAGGGCGCACAGACGTAATATACATTTGTAGATGGATACGATCTTTCATATAACCAATTGGAACAGGTTTTGTATTCTTCCACTAAACAGCCACCTACCAACCGCAAGAAACTTCGCCCCGAAAGATCACAGCATGGCACTGTACCGAGACTAAGTCCAGCTGGCATTTTGGGGACTGGAATGCACCCCATGAATGGACCAGCAGGTTTGCAGACCAGACTGCTCTGTAACGTCGTGGAACGGGGAGTGTTGGGGAGGACATTTTGCATTGAAAAGGGATGGAAAGAATAGACTTCTCTTTCAAGATAAGTTTCTATCACCTAATAGTTCACTAGATTTGCAACATGACTTTCTGCTGCTCATAAATTTTGATCCTAACCAAAGTGATGCTCATTTTACAACCATTTTTTATGGTTGGGGCTGAATAAATTTGCGCAAAATAAATTTCATGACGTGCATAATGAGCCTAACTTTTATTTGCCGTTTATTTGTGGTCGAAGACGCTCCTAGCTGGTAAGATTTGGATATTTTCTAATCCAAATGAAATATTTGCTAGTTTTAGGTTCTGTGAATAGTAGCTTTGTCAACTTTCAGAGTATTATTGTGAAAAAAGCATTAGTGGCAATCCCTTTATCATGCCGAAAGTCTTTGAGCCATTATCGAAACTGCGTCAGTAATAATGGTGAAATGTTCTTTTGGGGTTACTGATCTTTGAACTCTCAATTTGAAAGTTTCTCTGCATAAACCTAATGTATCCCAAAGCCTTGTGCGCATCGGCTATTTGCATGCTGGCTTAGAAAGAATTAAATATGTCACGCGCTATACTTGAGTGACATGCTAGATCTGGACCGGAGCCGCTAACTCCAATTTTATCTTAAATACCCTTCCTAAGGTGATAAAGCAGCCCTGGCAGACTATGGAGAGGCCTGCAAACGCGTCACCCCAACCCATAACTAAATGAATTGCTGTTTTAGGCGACATTAATGTCACATGGTTTTTTACTGTCCAAGCTAGGTTTCACGAACAGGCGGGGCCCAGTTTTAAATAAATGACTTAAAGCAAAATAACTTGTAAAAACTCAAAGTTTTAGTAACTGAGAGCTATACGTTCCCTTAAAAATTGCTGTCTCAAATATCATTGGTCCCATTCTCCAACATGTATGGAACGTTTCTCGAGGAACCTGATGCGTGCTAAGAACCCGACCTTGTAAAATTATTAAAGTGTTTCTTCGGCTCTGGGCAGTCACACGTTCGTAGGTGAGTTTCCCTTAAATTTATTATCAAACAACTCCTAGTTAGCAAAAGAAGCGTATTTGAGGAAAATCTGGGAATCCTTTGTCACATTCTCAAATGTTAACCTTGATTGTGGAAGACGCTAGTAAGGCAGGGAGAAGAAGTAAATTGATGAAAAACGTTTCCTTCAATTTTCGTCTCGGACAACTTCAAAAAGGCTGAGTGCTGGTAGACATGAAATATATGTGCCACATCTATAGAGCCATCAAGCGGACATCGCAAAACCTAAACATAGAATACGGAAATACTAAGACAGCACCATTTTTGCTGTTGTCTTAAAGGTGATTGGTATGCCGCAAATACTTGTGTACTGTTCATTGGGAAATAGACTAGGTTAGAATGAGGAATAAGACTACGTCCAATGAGTGTTAAAAATGTAGTGGATACATTGTTAAATACTTTAATGTTGGGTTCAAGACAGTGCTTATTCTGACATCAATTTGTACTCCTCAAGAATATAACCACTAATTTAAGCCATTATATTTCGTCTGTCTAGTGATTATTTATAAAGTTGGCCAGAGGGCGGCTTACTTTTCGTAGCTTCTGGAAACCACACTTTTGTTGTAGCCTGATTTTCGTACTTCAATTCGGAGCCTGCGGCAATGGGAGCACTAAGTGCAGCTCCGACCACCACGATTCCAAAATATATCAGTATAGTCCCGCCAATATAGCGATCTCGCTGAAATCGGTGGGGAAGACCGATGGAGAGTACTCTGTCGATTCCAAAAGCAAGCATTATGTATGCTGCCACAAAACTGCTCCATGATTCAGCAAATTCGAAAAACTGGCATGCTGCTAAGGAAGCGGTGTCGACTTTGATACGAACTTTACCATTGGAGAAGTAGTAAAGGCCACGGCCCAAGAAGTCATCAATAAATGCATTGAGCAGGAGAACGATGGATTCAAAGATACTCAGAGCAATTGGATACAGATTGTAGCGAGTGATGGGTTTATTCGTCAGAAAGAGATAAAACACCATCATGTTAGCAGCGACGCCAAGTATAAAAAGCAAAGGAGAGACGAAAAAACGAACGCATGCAACCAGCGTGAATAGAGTGTTCACTACATCGGAGCAGTCCACCATGCTAGCAGAAACGTCTTTCCTTTAGGAAATTAAAATTTTAGATTCGAATCCTATTGACTGCTGACCTTAAATGCATTTAGGGATTGGATGTTTTCGAGGCGGCTCGTGTATGGTGCGGCATTCTAACTTGCCAATAAGAATTCGCGACCACATGATGGGTACCATTATGGCTCTTCATATATTAAAGCTAGGTATAAAATTAAACGGCTAGCGAATCGGAGTGCCCGATTTTGCATCCCCTTTATTTTTGCAATACTGTTAAACTATCCTAATTGGAACTGTCGCGTTTGCTGCTTTAATAATAATACGAGACCTCGTAGAATTTATCACTACCCAATTCACAACCTACTATAGTAGTGAAGCTATAAACTGCTTACCTTTAAAGAAGAAGAAGAAAGCTGCAGATTTCTATTTTTTACAGTGCTCTTTTTTGGCATTACTGTTTTCATTAATGCTTTTTTTAGTTTCGAGCGTATTCGGGTGGGTCGCCGCGGTCTGCTAAGCTGAACACAGACCTTGTAGTCACGCTCTTTTTATCAATGCGGCAGGAACATAAAATTCAAGTTATTGCGAATGGAGACTGCACCAAATTGGGATACATAATTACGTGCACAAATAAAGGCTGATCTTTGCCAGATCGGGAAAAACTGGTCATTGTATGTGTGCAAATTGGATCACGCTGAATATGAAAGCTTTTATTTCTACTCATTTGGAAGTTGGACGATGATTGCATTAAACTCCATTATTACAAATTATGCCTCAATGTTGTACAAAATTACCCGTAAAACTGTTGAGAGTGGTCGTCATCACAAAAGATGGTGACGTGTTTGTTGGCAATTCAGGTCATAATTAAAGGTGCCTTATTAATAACCAAAAATTAGTATGGCTAAAGTTAATTTTCGCCGGTCAATTCTCTCCTTGCTCCCGTGTCCTTTACATGTCCCTTCCGTTAGGGACAATCAGACTGTAGCAAGGAAAGCTTTCACTTCCTTCTCAAATGTCTCAGTTTTTGCCAAAGTAATGAGTCGTTCGTTAATGGAGGGCATCACCACACATGGGAACGAATCGACATTGACGCACCTTTTTATTATTCGGCAAGAAACGTGCTGATGGGGCTACGGAATCAAGGAGAGGGAGCAACAGTAAGTACTGCCGACACCAAAGGCGTGCCACCTTGCAGTAGTGCACAAGAAGGCGGATAATAACGTTGAACTACAAGCATCATAACACTTAAATGGATGCTAATGCCTACCTTTTCACCCTCAAAATGTCCTAAAAACCCATTAATTAAAGCCAATTTCGCATTACTTGCATGAAATTGTAATAAATGGAACAATTATTGATGGCTTATTTTTAATCTTTAAGTCGATGGGGTGGTGTTGATTTGCCTATTGGCACAAATTACTGCAAATTTTACCAAGTCGTACATTTATTATCCACAATTAGTCATTCAAACCGTAGTGCATTGTTTACATTGACTCTTTAGTAAGTGAGTTGATTTGCAATGCTTTCCCCTCATGACAGGCCAAAGGAAATGAATGATACCATCGGTCTTGGGTAGGGATGCAAGGACTTCAGAAGTAGGCGAATGATTTGGTGTGACAAAGCTGAAAGAGGCCTAACTCGCCTTTCTGAAGTGGCCCAAAGCGTTTCACGCAGTTCTCTGCAGTTTGCCATTTCCATTGGCCCGCCTCAGAGAGACAATTAAGTCATCATTATTTGAATGAATTATTCTAGTCAATTCACTTTAATGCACATGCACCTTTACTTTCCAAAAACAAAAGTTAGACAAGCGAATTGAATTTAAGTACTTTTTAAGAAAGGCAGGGATTACTGCTATTTTAGGGCTATTTTATCCACTCATGCTAACAGACCAATGCTTGTTCACATTTATAAAGCCGTTTTTTTGCGTCTGCTTCTTTAAATTTGTTTGTTGACGGTTTAGAATAAGAATTAAGGATACACTTTGCCATAATTTATCATTTACTGGAATTCCTTCTTAAGTTAGCCTTTTAAATGACTTTTACTGGTTTGTGGACTTGTCAATGGCAGTGCAGCCACTGACTCCGTGAGGATATTTCGCTCCTAATTAGTTGAAAGCAATAAATTACCTTGTGGATTAACTTTTCTACCTGCACCAATCCTTTATTGCCCCTTTTAAATTCATATCCATCAGTGTCCAGGTTTTTAACCCGTGACCTCCTTTTCGACTTAATTAGCCCAGAGTGTGTAGCAAAATGACCTGAATCTTATCACTGTCATCGTTGGGCGTAGTCCACTGATGTACTTTGCCCATCCCAATGTCCCTTACCACTTTTTTTAATGCCTGTTAAGCTTATTGGCGTGCTCGACTGCAATAGGATCAAAGGCAAACTTACTTATTCCACGAGGAAACTCCCATCCTTCCATCACATTTGTCTGGAGCATTTGTAAACAAGTCGGGTTGAAGTGCACACAGCGATCAAACTCCAGTCAAGGAACTGTACAGGTTATAACTTGTTCCCCTCCCTTTCCCACGTCAAATGCCTTCCCTCACACTACAACGTCAGCGACCCCAAGGAGCGATCACATATATTTTTTAAAGTCCAACATATTGAAAATTTTCCCACTACAACTGCTGTTCCTTTTTGGATAATAAGCACCACAGCTTCCCAGGTTGCAAATAGTGAAGCTTTTCTAATTTTTACAATGCTAAAAGGAAGCAGTAGGAAAATATTTTAGTGGTTACCATTTGTTTTGCTTAATGCCGTCACCACAAAGACCTAGTTGGTTCATTGGCGGCAAGTTGTGGGCGTTCAAACTAATAATAACAAATGACCAACCGCAATGATCTTGGCCAGCAGATAGCATTTCATAACCGTTAAAAAGTGAGTACACTCCCTCATTTACGACCACTTTTCTTTCTCGCAACAAAACTGCAACGTATTTGTTGTTCGATTAAAGCAACTTGGCCGTCACGCCCTCTAAAATAGCGCCAATTATAAGACAAGGTCTAAAAATAACTACTTTGCTTAGAGGATTGGGCTCTTTCTTCAAGTAATTATGTAACTCTTGTAGCACATTGGTTCCCATTGCGGTACAAGATGTCGAGCAATTCGCTGGTGTAAAGGTCAGGTTTGTATAAGCCCTGTTGCAATGTCCTTTAAGCTTATCTGCTGCCTGAACTAGAATGCATTTCCTCGCTTCGACTATTTTATGTCGGTACCTCCAAAAGTGACAACATTTTACAGAAATATCAGGTATTTCGAAACGCATAAAATTTGTTGCAATTACATTGGGCTGATCTGTTGGATATCGCGGACGTGTTGGATGTGAACTTGTGCCGAGTGATTAGTGTCCTGGCCTTCTCACTGGGTAGAAGACCCCACTTAGAAGTTCGCATTGATACTCGAGAATCGCAAACCATCATCGTTCACTCATTGAAAACTTATACCGGTAATCTGCAGCTTCGAAATTTCAAGTTTTCAATGACCAATAAAGTTTGCCGACAAATCCAATTGCAAACGATGAAGACTGCTGTCATAAATTGTTATTAGTCCTAAACACAAACTGTACTGGCATGCGTTTAATAAGTGATAGACGTCCTAATGGATTGACGATTCCTTCTCCATATTGTGATTTTCCGAAAAGTTTGTTGATAGTAAGTCCAGTAGAAGCACACACTTGATATTCGATTGCATTTAACTTTTTCAATTGCTCTTGCAAACACCGTCTCCACCACAGCAACCCTTGCCATCTTCATTTTAAGATGTGGGAAATGCATACTCAGATTACAAAAAACGTAATTAGTTGTTGATATCGGAGCCATTATCTCTGCATATGATAATAATGCTATATTTTGGTGTAAACAAAGGACGAGACATTACTGCTGCTTACTGTTTAAAGTGAAAGTTGGGACTGTTCACACCTCATAAAATTGATTTGACATGCTCCTCTCAAATGCATTTAAACGTGCTTTCTGTGAGTGCTCTCTTATTTTTGATTATGCTTGAAATGTCATGCAAAGGCGACGACTTGAGTTAATCTTTTCTGCTTTAGTAATTGGGTTTGTTTCAGCCTTCAGTTCCCCCGTGGCCTTCTTTTGCATTCGATATGAGAGTTGGATTAGATGAAATCCAAGACTGTGCAAATTTGACGCAGTTTCATCTTGACCTATTCTAGTGATCTTCCGCTTTTGTGCTTACTACTTTGGATTACTTGCCAACAGTTTGCTAACTGGCTTAGTCATTTGCGATGGATGAGGCTTTGTACCTCAAAGGTAACCAGCTGAACACGTTACTGGTTGTTCCTAGACGACCCACTCACTACTAATTCTACACGCCTAGGATACGCACCACTTCACATTCCTCGAGGTGTATGTTCAAAATGTTTGCGCAGCATACCGCAGCTGATGTCGACCACTATGGCCTGATCCTAAAACCCAAAAAACGACGGTTGAGGGTGCTTCCAGGCCTGTGACAAATGTGGAGTATTTTGATAAAAGTGCAAAAGGACAACAGGATCAGCCAGTCTGAGAGCACAGGTAGAGTGAAAATGGGGTAGTTGAGGTTGGCTATCGCGCAGCTGAAGGCTAGGCCTAAAGCTTTGGGCTTATATCTAAGGAAAAAAATGGTGACAGCTCGAAGTGAAGAGTGCCTCAACTGGTAGAAACCGTTATAGACCTCCAGTAGCATAACAGACGCGCCTATAGAAACAATCGCTGTTCTTCAACATACTTGGTTTTTTAATCTTGAGATAGCAAACCAATAAAAGCTTACAACGTTCTTCACGTCTACGACTACTGGCACATCCTTTCTCGCGTAAAATATAATGATGAACACTTTACACAAATCTCATTGCTAACCTACCAACCTAGACAACTTAGTGATAGTGGACAATCACCTTAACGCTTCCTTATCATTACCACTCAGCTTTGCTTCCAACAATGAAATACAACAAATGTAAAGCACGGAGTAAACGTGCAAAAAAATGCTTGCACTGATTACAAATGCGACAATAGAAATTCGTGACTTTTATTT